ATATTAAATATCCTTCAATAGTAGACTGAACAAATTATGGTAGATTTACATAATGAAATTTAAAATAATTTTTAATAATGTGGCAAAATGATACATTAAGAGGATAGAACAGGATGCCAAAAAGAATGCAAAGCATGAGACAAGTTTTTTTATACATAACTCTTAGAAAAAGAACTGGAAGGAAAAATGTGATGAAGTTATGACTTTTCCTTTATAGTTTTTGTGATTTTATATACTGGACCTTTCTTTTATGGTCAGAAAAAGCTTTAAGGTATTTGAAGAAGAAACACAAGCAAATTGTTCAAGGTCACTTTCACAGATTTTAGTACGTGACGATGAACAAGCAAGAGGAAGCTAAAATAAAGGAGTACCCCTAGGAGTCCCTCAGGACTCCCTAAAAGACCACACACCATAGTGGGTTGGACAGACTGCTTTCCACTGGCGACAGGTGGCGCTGTGACCACGGGGTGGTCACAACCGCCCTCCCTCCAGTTCCTGTGACAGAATCTGATGGCTACTGCTGGCCCTTCCCTGGAAGAGGCTCGTCCCTTTCATCCACCTGGATCTCTGGGGAAGAAAGAACTCCTAGACTGAACCAGGACAGAGGTAGGTTCCCAGTGAATTCATGGATCATCACTCCTCCTCCTAAGTTCCCATTCCCAGGGAGCCTCTTCCAGAACTCCAGCCCACGTGCAACAGAAGGCAGCAAGCGCCATATCCAGGCAGAACCTTGTGACTCTTGCTCCTTTGCCCTGTCAACTTTCACTCCTTCAGTTCCTTCTGTCTCCTACTCCTGCTTTCTGTTCTGCAGGACATGGAGCTTTGAATAGATGCGGTCACATCTTGTCCAAATGACTGACTGGTGGTGTGACCACCTCCACACCACAGCTCTGGTGTCACCGGACTATTTTCCACAGAGTACTGAATTGGGGAAGCCACATACACCCACTGAGTAATTCCAGTTTCACAAGAGCCTGTTGGGCCCATTTTTGTATGGCATCTTGTAGATTTCCCTTTTATTCATATTTCCATTATTTGTTGATAGGAAGCTATCACAGAGACGACAAACTCTCTCTTTATTATAGAGTGGAATATCACCATGGACTCACAGGAGACCCAAGAAGAATGATCTGAAGGTCACTGGGAAAGATGCTCATGCCAGTGACTTCAAATTTGGGCTTATATTAAAATCATGTGAAGAATATTTCACAAATGAAACCTTGGGCCCCATCCATGGCCTTACAGCATAAATCTTACTCCAGCTACTCACTCAACAGTGTTTCTAGGATCGGTGCCAGACCACCTCCATCAGAATCACCTCTTTGCTAAAAATCCAGCATGGCTTACTTTCTGCATATAAACAGCTTGGCTATCTTCCTAAAGCTCTCTACTTTATTACATTAAAATATTTAAAATTGAAATTATTTAAAATTTTATTATTAACCCATTAGCCTAACAATCATAACAGTCTACTTACAATTCAAATATCGCAGCAGCCATGCTTCTAAACAGACATACATGCTACACAAAACTATCTCATAAATGTGTAGTGTTGTCCATTTAATGACCCAGTGTTGGCTTGCAGTTCTCTGGTCCTTATTACCCAATGTCCAAACCTTCTATTTCATTTAACCATTCTTACAGATATTGTAAGCTCGCTGATGGTTTTTATATTTTTTCTTATCTGAGTTTCTGCCTTTGAGGTGGTACTGGATTTTTGCTCTTCTTTCTTTATGGGCTTTCTTTATCCCCTACCCCTTCTCTTTCTGCTTCCAATTCCCCTGTTCACTACCTTCATTCAATCTCATCTATTTCTTCTTTTCCTCTGAGCCACCTAATACTGTATTTTAATACTATGGTTGTAAGAATTAATATCTTAACTAGAAGAGTGTACATTGCTAGAAATTGTTTTTGAAAGGTAAGTTTCTGTGAAAGCATTGGAGTGTCTTAAAACTCATGCTGTCTTGCTGAAGCCTGAGCAGCGAGGACATTTACAGGACAGCAATAGCCCCTGTGACTTCCTGTGGCAGGGCTTCTTCCTTCTTCCTCTGCTGACTCTCCCCTCACCTACCTCCACTGCCTCGTTGCTGGTGGCTGATCTTTCTTGAGCTTGAGAGCAGAAGTACTATGATTTAAAGTTACCAACTGGCAAACTCTTATTTGCCCATTGAGACATATTGTCTGCAGCCCCTCTAAATGTGTAATACTTGAAGAAACTGAATTGATCACCTCCTTCCCTCAAAGCTGCTTGATCACTTCCTTTGCATCATATTTATCTATTATGGACATTATTGAGCTCTGCACATTCTGCCCTCTATCTTTTGTATGCCTTTCTCCTCAACAGAATTGTAGTCCTGTAAGGATCACACTCATCTCTTCTTCTTTTGATCCCTGTGGAGTTTTGTAAAATGTCATCATTATTCAGGGATTTTTTCAAATGAGCTGAATGTTATGCCAAACAGTCAGTAATTTTGGCCCAGTTGGGGCAGGAGTTGCTAAGAACGTGTTAATTAGGCTGCAAAATGAAGGCAGATGTTTACAAGCAGAGAAATCAGGGGAGGTGAGGTTGGAGGGAGAAGCAGGTGTGTGAACAAGTGACCCAGTGTGGAGTCTGCTGCCAGGACTGGCAACAGAGCTTTTCCCTTTGGGCACAAGGTGGCAGACCATGTCCGCTTCTTTCAACCCTTGCAAGGCAGCTAGGAGAGGATGAAGTTTTCTGCCCTATTTTGGAAACGTATGTTTACTTTTTTATTTGAAGATAGTGCAGCTTAGTGGTTGAAACCAGGTTTGGGTAAAGCTCGAGCCCCGTGCTTGCCAGCAGAGCATCCTGTGTGTCTCTAATCTTCTCTGTTTGGACCAACTCTTCCACATCTGCTTCCAAGAGCAATGCCTCCAGATGTTGGGGGACATTCCTGGTTCCTTTAATTGGAAGAAGAAAATATGAACCTTCTGGTAATTTAAAGAGGTATCCATGAACATGCAGGCATGGAGAGGAAACACTCTAACCGGAACCTGAGATCCAGACTGGGACAGATGACCTCTGGACATGCCCACCTGGAATGGCCCAAAGAAAGCACCACTTCCTCCATTCATTCATGCTTTTTTTTTTTTTACCACCCCAAGTGTTCTGCATGTGATCAGACCATTCACAACATATCCCACAATATATCTAGCAGGTGGATTTTAATTCATTTATTTGCAATTTAAATTCTGATATAGGCTTCTTCATCAGTTGTCTTGAAGCTTTTCTCTCTCTCTCTTTTTTTTTTTTTGGCCAAAATTGTCTTTCTTTTAAAAAAGCAGAGTATGAGGAATAGCTTATTAAGGAGTTCTGGTGGTGACATTAGGTGACGTGTAAGGTCTTTTCATGGATACTGAACTCTGGTATGTACAGAAGATGGAGAACACATGGAAGAAAAAATGGTGTATTGTTTTCAGGATCTACTTAGCATTTTACTCATCCCTCTATCTACATACATATATGGCCTATGTCATATATATCATATATAACCTGGGTGTACATTCTCTATATACACACCCACATATGTTAAGAGGAATTGCATATTATGCTATGTGATGAGGGAGTACAGTGAGTGTTTAACAGCCCAAACTTGATCCAGGCTGCCTAGGTACAAATCCCAATGTACTAGTTGGAGCATTAAAGTTTCTCAGTTTCTTATCTATAAAATGTAGACATACTCAGATAATAGGGGAGCCATGCAGATGAAAGAATTTAATAGAACATAACATGATAATCCTCAAATCATGTTGGCCACTATCGTCTATGTGTGTGTTTGTGTGTGCCTCTGTGTGTGTGGAGGTGGTAGAATCGGACCGATTCCATGGCTTATATTGCTCGTTTGGTTTAGGAGAAAGCATCTTCTGTCTACTAATGTGGGAGGTCAGATCTTAAGAAGGAAGCACAGAGTTTATGACAATCACTTGCACTACAGTGTTATTTAACTCTACAGTCTAAGGGCTACACAGAACGTTTGGTCATAGCTTATGCTGTTTGGGAGCTTAGGTCTTAAAGAGCAAGAGAATATGCTCTTTTCTTCCTCTATCTTCTGCTTCTCCTTTTCCTCTTCCCTTGACCCGTCTTCTCATTTGGAAGAAATTAAGAATGGAGAGGTATGTCAGTTAGGAATTTGACTTAGCTATCAATAACAACAAAACTGATGGTGACTTAACCCATGAGGAAGATTTGTCTCACAGAACAAGGACGCTGGAAGCAGGAGACATCTCTATGTCTGTTTTGTCCTTTTCCTCATGGCCACAAAACAGCTGCTGCACTTCCAGACATCATATTTATGTTAATCCCAGAAGAAGAATGTGAGATAAGAAGGAGTGAAGGTGTGTAAGTTCCTCTTACCAGAGAGAGCAAAACCTTCCAGAACTGCCCCCCTTTCCTTATCAGAAGACTTATGTCTAATTTTCAGAACTGCGACACAAAGCCATCAATAGCTGGAAAAGCACCTCTACTAAAGGAAGGGGGAAAAATAGGCTGGGAACAATTGGGAATGGCCAGTAGTGTCTTTCAAGCTGTTTTTGTCTGGCTTTTTCATTTCTGTTTCTTCTTCTCAAATTCTTCCCTTATTCTCCCTCCACCTTAACCTCCTGTTTGGAAAGAGATAGAATTGACTCAAGTGGTGACATGAGGTTTGTTTCAGGAATAAAATTGGCCTTTGAGAGCATGTAACTGTACAATAGAAAAAAGCACACAGTGGCACACGAAATGGACTGTGTCTATTAGAGCAGAGGGACTCAGGAGAAGTGGGCTCAGCAGGATGGGGACTTTATACCCACTGCCTTTGCGGGGGGCAGAACTCCTCTTGTTGAAATCATGCATCACTAGCACAGAATTCCTCATACATCATCCACTTACAGATTGTCATCGAGAAATATTGTTTATTTCCATGTTTACACAGCAAAAAAATATAACAAAGGCTTTTGTGACACTCACAAACTTTACAAACGACACCCGCTCAAATGCTGCCTGTTACACACATCCTCAATGAGTGATTTTTGAAAAAGCATTATGACCCTGACTAGAATTTGTACTTTGATCCTTAACATGGTGCCCCCCACACACACCAGGAGGGCAGGGCTCTAGGCTTGCTCAACCCATCCTCCCTCCCAGTCAGCTGTCGGACCCTGTCCTCTGCTGCCCAGTGGAAAGCGATGGGTAGAGCCACAGGACTAGTGCCCGCCACTCTCACTTGAACTGCTGCTGTCAGAGGACTCACTGCTACTGGCCCTTTTCCGGGTGCTAAATCCCTTATTAGAAGGATGTCTTCTGTAACCCCAAGGGCCTTGCCTTTGTGACCCACCCTTACTCCGTACCGAGTCATTTTGCCCATGGGGTACATAAGAATTCTTCCTGCTGTGTGTTATCATATTCTCCTCATTGTGGGGGCCACAGTGGGAACCAATTTCATTTTTAATTTCATTATCAAGACCATGAGAAGGAATAATCAGGCCCTGGCTTTTGCCCTTACTAGAAAATCTGTGTTTTTCACTTAAGGCCTCTTGGTTCCTACCAGACAGCTCCGTAGCTTTTCTAGTGCCACCTTTGCCGTGCTTAGGAATTTCATTGTGAGTGGCACTTTCAGTGACAACAGCACTGCCCCCTTCGCTTTGCCCTTTGGAGAGGGCATTTGGGTAATGAAGCTCTATTTTCCCTTGGTGAGCATTCTGGCTGCCGGTGTCCACTCTGCTTCCTTCCTTCCCAGGGAGCTCCCTGAAGCTGGTACTGCCAGTGATGTCACTGCTGCCCTCTACCAGACTCACAGCAGCCTCTCCTGCCTCTTTCGAGGTCCCAGCCCTGGCTGAAAGGGTATCACCACCACCTTCCTTTCCCTCCGGGATCTCATTAGGACCCAGGCCCCTTGTGTCAGTGTTCACAGTCTCAGCTTCACCTGGACCAAAGAGCCCTGTTTGTCTATCTGTGCTTTCTAGGTCGAGACCAAAAGCTTCTTCTTTGCCAGAGATGTCCTCAAAAGGTTGGCCATCCCCACTGAAAGGAGAGATGTCCTTGTCCCCTCTCCCTTGGAGATCTGCATAACCATAACCACTGCCTTCAAAATCACTGGGGACTCTTCGCACTTTGGAGAGCTGTGGTAGGTAGTGAGTGCTGCGTCGAATATGCCGGATGCTTTTGTTTTTTACTGGGCTATTCTGGGCTGGTACACCCGGTTGATGACTCTTACATTTGGAGAGGGCTTTAGCATGGTTGACATCTACTGGAATTTTGGTTAGAATATTTCTAGGATTGGTCTCTTTGTTTTCTTCCCCCCGCCATTCTGTCACTGTCATTACATGGTGCACCTTGTTTCTGATGAGGGCTGCACCGTATTCTTCTTGGTCATGTAGCCTCCTGGTATCATTGTCTCCATCCTTGGCCCTTCTGGGGCCAGTGGATTCAGGATATGTGAGGACCATTAGATCCTTGTGGGCCTTCTTGTTCTGAATGACTCTATACTCATCCTTCAGAGTTTGTCTATTTGCTGAGAGATGTGGAGATTTACTACTTTGGTTATTCTCATTGGCTTCAAGAAGGGACAAAACTTTCTCACTTCCCCAGACAATGTTTTCAAGAGATGGTGGCTTTTGGTTTCTTCTCTTGTCAAAACGGTGAAGGGCAATATTGTCTTTGCTTTTTTCTTCCTGCTAAAGTATAATTTTTGATATAAAGGGATTATTTTATGCTATGTTTTCAAAATTTGCTAACTCTTAGGCAATATTTTAAAAAACGATCATCATATAGGCAATGAAAAGAAGCTATTAACTCAAGAGAGGTTTAGAGGTGGACATCATTCTGTAATGGCCACAGCAGATTTCACAGAGAAAGAAGAATGAACAAGGTCTGAAAGATGGGTAGAGTTCAGATGTGCTAAAGGAAAGTGGTGAGAATCTTTTAAGAGGAACTAGCAGAGCCCAGTGTTTGGAAACATAATCACTGAAAGAGAATACAAACAAAACTATAAGGCTGGGCTGGAGAGATCCTAAAGAAGAGAGCAAAAAATTAATCTGGAAATACAGATCAGGGCCAGATTTTGAAGTAGAACCAGAATTTAAAGAGAGCATGATTAAAGAATGTGATCCTCATATTAACATTGAGTCACTGCAAGTGAAATGAATTTCATATTCTTAAATTATTCTCTCTCTCTCTCCCCACCCCAGCTTTGGCCCTGACCATAAGAGGTACAGAGTTATCCATCCTCCTAAAAGAAGATATTGTTCCTTTCTTTTATTTTTCTCTTTTTGTTTTAGCAGAAAATCTACAAATAAAAGAATCTAAGAAATAAATCAACTTCTGACTTTCAAACAAAACATTTTGCATCAAGATTTGACATTTCTGGTCATTATCTGGAAAAGGATTCATGAATTTTCTTTTCTTCCCCCTTTGCTGAATAACAAAACAAATCTGATGATCTAAATTAGTCATTCTCAATTTAGCACTTAGCAGAATTGTTTGGAAGACTTGCTGAATCAAGGTTGTTGGGCCCAGTGGCCATGGTTTCTCACTCACTGGGCTTGGGGTGAAGTCTAGATTGTGCATCTGGACAAGTTCTCAGATGATGTGGCCATTGCTGATCTGGGGCTACATTCTGAGAACCTCTGTTCTCTGTCAGAAATTTTAGTAACAGTGGCCTAAGGAAGAAAATTCCCTGAGACAAAAATGGATGGAAAGGAAAAGGTAGAGGACAATAAAATGTTCACACACACACACAAACACACACACACACACACGCACACATGACTGCAATGTTGTTCCTTGTTGTCTTCCTCTCCACTATGGTGGAAGCCAGGGTTGTGTGTGTAGTGTGTGGTAGGCAGTGGATGGTGTAAGCCACTCCTGGATACTTCATTAGAGAAAATAGGGGAGTGATGATCCCAGGATGTTTAGTTAAAAGAGGCTGGAGGATTTATTGAAAGAACTGTTTAAATTACTTAGATAACCCTAAGTTTACAGATAGAAAAGAATTTATGTGCACCACCTCACCCCTCTATAATCCCCTCTATTCAACCTTCCTCTAAGATCTTGGACAACAGGAGAACTTCACATAGAATAAAGGTCATACTTTCTTTCCAACTCCAAAGTGTAGTATGAGCTAGAATTTACAAGACCACTACATCACCCTGTGAACTCAGAAGTAATACAAAATCTAACTAACAGGTATTATTGAGGGGTTGAGATATGTAGGAAATTGGCTGGGTGCTACCTATTCTGAGCAATCTGTAATGGCTTCATGACAGGAGTTCTGCAGGGGCATGGAGGCGCAGAACATCTCTCTCCATAGGTCACAGCTCAGACCTATGCTCTGGTTGTGGCCATGGGACTCCCCATCAGCCCCAGACTCTGAAATGACCTTGTTAGGCCCAAGCACACAGCATCTATTACCGTCCTTGTCCTGGCCATAGCCCTGTTTTTACCAATCCAGCCTAATTTGTCTCTTCTGGTCACACTTCAATCTGTGCATGTGAACATCTTCTTGGGTCTGTTGATAAAAGATGTAAAAATAAGTGAGAGCTCCTCAATGGAGAAAAAGAGTCGTCAGGGGAAGCTCACACTTTGGGGGCAAGCATGTAGGGAAGATAGCAAAGAGGATGGAAAGACCAGATTCAGGGAAGCCAGGGTCAAAGGGAATAGCATCAGCATCAAGTGAAATAGCAGACAAGAGTTGCCAAGTGGTTTTCTTAATCCCTCAGTACAGCACTCATGGGAAGAAGTTGTACTGTGAAAAGAGGACAGGAGTTAGAATCAGCTGCCCACCTCTGCCATTGTGTTACTTCTTTGAGCCTGGGCTGTTTAGCCATAAATTAAGAAAAGTGATACTTACATTTCAAGGATCGTTGGGAGTATTAAATGATTTTATTACATGATCTAATGCATGTAAAGCATCTAACACATGTCTATCATAAACAAATTCTACATAAGTGACCACAAATACAATTTCATACAGAACTGTACTGAGCCCTTTATGGAAAGACAGCTTGTTTTCCAGCACCATGTCAGTGACAATCATTTGAATTAGGGTGCACAGCTGGCTAGAGTTCTCTAATGTGGTTGTAAGGGCACCTGGAAGTGGACTCATTCTTGACCCCTCTGCCCCGGGACTGTCTGAATGCTGCCTTCTGGCTGTGGCTTCTGTAGGCTTATGGGTCCCGACAACATGTTATCTAAAACAGATTTCGTTTGCTCTTCTTCTTCCTTGCCTTCTCCCTTATCCTCCCTTCCCCCTTCTCCTGCCCCACATAGAAATACTGTTCTATTTGGAGAACTCCCTGTTTTTGTACATGTCTCTTATTAACTGCCAGGAGCTTTGGGGGAAAATTGTTGAATCACCTCACACCTGAAACTGAAGATAAAAATGGTTTCCGGAGTTGAACTCTATTCTTATAAAGCTTGCTAACAGGCAGTCAGCAAAATGCAATTTTTAGTGATTGCAAGATAAAATTTAAAATGATTTATTTGTGGAAGTTATGACACAATTATTCACTAATTTTTTATATTCCCAGATATACTCTGAAAAGAGTTTAAGTTTTGGCTATGAGAAAACAAGAAACAAGCTTTGCAGTGAGTTACTTCTGAATAAAAAGCGTTTTCAATATTTGACTTAGTTTGGTTTAGGGAATTGGTCATTGAGTCTTGGAAAGTTTTATTTGGACCTTTATATTTCCATTGCAATCAAGTTAATTAACTCTTTACTAATGTAACCTTTGAAATAAAGCAGTTGGTGAGAAATTCAGTAAATTATAGTAATCCCTTCTTCATTTTTTCTCCCTATCTTGAAGTAAGAAGTTTTGTTTTATTTTTGATGCTTCTACTAGTTTTAAAAGAGCAGCATGCACACTAATGAATTTCATTAGGAGACTGAATAGAATTCTTTCATAAAGAAAAAACATAAAACAATTTTAGACTATGCTATGGGATAGCTAATCATTTTAACTATGCATTGGGGAAAATATTAAAAAATTGAAAACCTTTTCTTTTCTGACTTTGCTGATGTTAGTGATTTCTAATGGCCTTACTGGCTGCATGAGGTCTCTGGCTCCGCTGGCTGCTCTGTCTTGCTGTGCTCTGCTTTTCCATTTCTGGGCCTTGGTTCTTAGTATTATTTCCTTAGTGAAATGGTCTCTCCCACTCACTTCTGTTTCCTCAAATCCTAATCACTCTCCACGGCCCAGCTCATTTATTTCCATTATGCAGCATTTCCTGAACCCAGGCAGGAGGCAGTTTCTTTTACATCGATCTTTTTATTCCACCATGCAGATGGTATTTTCCAAATTCTGTCTTGGGTTCTAATGAGTTTTAAAAGTGCCTTTTGCTTCTTTTCCAAGATCTTGGATAGAACAATTAAGTTTCTCAATCATTTATTCCCACACAGCATCTTACACAATAGGAAGATGCCAGCATATATGTATCACAGCCATAAGTTCTATCTAATTTTAATGGGCAATTAGAGGCCGCCTTAGCAATGCTATGTAAAGGATATTGAACAGAAGAAGAAAATAACAATCTGGAAGGAAACTGCTACTTCCAGAGGAAATGAAGCCAGATTTGGAAAAGTAAATAGTCCTTTTGCTGATGGCATTTTAAGCTGTTTCTAGCCTATTGGCAGTGATTCTGCAGGAAGAGACTGAGTGAAAAGGATTATTGTCATCCTGAGACAAGGGCCTCATTCTTTCTCTTTGAGCATCCTGCACAGATGGAGTCACCCATGGAATGAATTTAAGAGACACTAAAGCATTCATCCTTTGGTCCAAAGTCATTTCTCCTGTTAACCTTCCCCTGGTGAAATCCCCATAATTACAGCATATGGAGAAGACTCAATGTTACTCAGACTCAGAAACAGGGCAGCTGGTGGCATGTGGGGTCCACACAACCATACCTGCAGCTGAAGGTTCTGAAGCAGAGAAGGACTGGACCAGGCCATGGGCAGGGTCCAGAAGATTCTAGATCATAACACTGCACAGTGGAGAGGTTTGAGGAGTCTGGGATGTGGGGGCCAGGAAAGGCTCACCACAGATGGACACCTTGGAGTAGCCAAAGCTAAACTGCACCTCTCTGTCTCTCCTACAACTTCTGCAGGGTAGTCCAGGGTGTGCTTCATAAGAAAGGACCTTCACTGAAGGATCCATCTCACTTATATGTGAGTTTGACCTATCTTCCCAGGAGTTGGGTAAACATACTTAAAAATAGAATACCCATGTTTTTCATGGTGAGCCCTGTAAATTATCTACAAAAACACAATATAATATTAAGATAGGTTTTTCTCTTCCAAAGAAATTTTCTAGCTTTTTTTTTCATAATGCCATACAGGGTTTTTGTTTTTGTTTTTGTTTTTTTAACAGGGGCAATCAATTGCCAAATTGCCTCTGACACGCATTAGTATTTCCTGTAACCACAGGAGGGCGTGCATCAGCCAGTCCCTGAGGAAAGCAACTTGCTCTTGTCTTCTGCTTATTTCCAAGTTTTCCCTTCGTTGCCTGTCAACTGCTTTTTCTCCCAGGGTACACTTTTACCATCGAATTCAATGGAATTGGAGCATGTGGAAATATTTTCAGGTGAGATGGGTGAGGGGTCTGACATAATGACAGATTTTATGATACTTGTATCTGGTATCCAATGAATAAAACTCATGGCATGAGTATTCAGGTTTATAAATTTGCCATTTTGGCCTGTAATTTTCAGCTGAGATAAAGAACAGATTGTTAGTTCTTAGAATAGAATTTTCTGAGACCGCCAGGAGACCCGTGGTAGGCAGAAGTAAGCTCTACACCCTGATGACATGCAAAGCTGGAGTATTTGCTTGACTTTCTGGACAACTAATCCCGAGGAACCTAATTCCCCATTAGGACCTGTTAACCAACTTCTTTTTTCCCTTTATCTATCACTTTTCTCTCATGTACACATGTGGGAAATGTTTGCTAGTAACAACACCCCAGAATTCTTATTCCTCTTCAAGTTGCCTAGCAAGCCATTCTTTCATTTGAAGGAAGAAATCACACTGCAAAGATCTCTATCCACAGTGACTTCCTTCTTTTCTGTCATGCATTGTGTGAATTACAATACTTGATTAACTAGAAAATGTACAAATAATGTTGTATAATTTATGTTGTTCCATTCTAAGCACCCAAGAGTAGTTTTATTTTTATTTTATTTTTATTTTTTGGCACCGGGGATTGAACTCAGGACCTTGTGTTTTCCAGCCAGGCAGCTACACCACTGAGCTAAATCCCCAGCCCAGGAATAGTTTTAAAGTTAAAAATTTCTTACTGACTTTTTCCTTTGCAAAGTCAAAACAGAATTATTTGAGAAGAATAATTCTGTGTAACCTCTGTTCCTCCACACAGCCTTGCCTAGTTTTCACCATCTGTGGCTGAAATGTCTGCAAGGAGACAAGGACAGAACTTCACAAAATAGAACGTTCTTTCATTTGTTCCTTCAAACAAGTGTTTTATTTATTTTTCTCTCTCTGGGAAGTATTATTCAATGTGGAAAATCATTCTGAGCAAAAGAAGATAGACCCACTTGTCCCTTTAACATTTATTTTAGGGTTCCAAAGGAGAGCTCCAGTTTTCTTCCCCCAGAGACAGGCAATACCAGATTCCAGCACCGAAAACCAACAATGGTGTGGTGTGGTGGGAGAAGGCAGCATGGCTCCTGGGTGAAGGAGTTTGGCCATCATTGGTGCCCACTGGAAAAAAACTTTTCACTTGCACACTGGTGTTGTTAAGTATAAGCGAGCTAAACTCTGTTCTGAGCTGTGGGTTGACTATGTAAGTTCAGTAACTGCTACACAGAATTAAAATGTGATGGTGCTGATGGTTCAGCAGGAGTCAAACCATTGCCCTGCATGTAATGGGTAGGATCATACCCAAGAATGGGTGTTGCTATAGCCAGTTCCCCGCCTGACATTTCCCAGGGAGAGAGACTAGAGGTGAATGCAGATTGGGAGAAATTCTTTCTATTAGATGGATCCAACAGTGTCAAATTTTTCTGGAATTTCCTAGGGGTGAGGGAACACTACTGGAATGGGGAAAGGCCAGAAACTAAGAAGACTAGACCAACACAGGTGTCTTAGGCCTTTGGGCTGACGGTGTCAGGGAGACATACAGAACAGTACTCAAGAATCCTGGAGCAATGTTTCTGTAAAAGAAACAGGTGGAACAATTCTTCAGTTCTCCATATTTTGATTTCCCTATTTTTCAAGCTCTTGGCTTTTCTCTGATGTGCCAGGGGAAGCAGTGAGTGGTGCGTGTTTTTGTTTCAATGGGAATGCAAAAGTAAAACCAGGCACCATGGTAGATCAATCATAGAAGAGAGGGAAGCTGTCGATAGAAAAATGAAAACAGAGGTAAACCAGCTGAGGACCACTTAGGCTGGCTGTTTTATTCACCTAGAGAGTGTTCTTCTTGAATAAATCTTAAAAGTCATGGATTTTTTTTCTGCCTGGACACTGATTAATAAAGTCATCTTAGAAATATAAGCTCAAAAGCTTGGTGAGAGTACCCATTGACAGGGCTCCAACATATATCTGCCCAATATTCCATTTCATTCTAGAAACAAACAATAGTTTTTCAGTAACACCTTATATTTACATAACATTCACAGCTTGTAGACTACTTTTGTATAAAAATCTCATTTGGATTTTATAATAACCCCTTGAGATAAGCAATAGAAGAAACAAATTGTGTACACATGCAGCTGGTAGTAATAGAAGTAGAAAATATATTTAAATCTAAGTCTTCCCTCAAAGTCCCATAGTTAAAATAATAAATTTTTAAATAGTTACATATGAAAACATTGACTAATAAGAGAATATGTTCCTAAAGATTATACTATCTTCAAGATCTATTTTATAATTTTATTCCTTATTGCATTTCTTTCTCATGTTGGTATTTATTTGATCTTGTAAATATAAAATAAGAGCATTGCTTTACTCTTCATTAATACTAAAACAGTGAACATAGTTCTGAAAATGAGGCTACAGGAAGAAGAAAACAAAAATGAGATGGACAGATATTAAGCAAGAGAGTGAAATGAAAGTATAGGCATCTTCTTAGATGAACACATACACACCTACACACACATATGCACACACATATACACACACACGCGTATAGTCATTCAAAACATAGTCTGCCAATAAAATGTATACACACCTCAGGAAAAGAAAACTAGTATGCTGTTTTCTCAGTAGATGGTGTTACCCTCCTATGGGGGACCCTAGAGGATGTCATATATCTCAGAAAACCCACGACACTGCTGGCCTGTAGAGAAGAAATTGAAAATGCATGTGCAGCAGTCTCAATGACCAAGGTTACCCAAACAGCAGTTCACTGTGCTAATCTCCACTACTTTGAGCACCTCTTGTAATTGTAGAGGCCAAAGGTAACATATTAATCTCGTGATATTGGAATAAATTTAGTATTAAGGTTTTTCTTTTCGTGAAGTGTGTATACATTTTTTTGTCAGAGTCTGTGTTTATCTGATAATACAGACTTCCTTAGCATAGTTCATAACTTGTTGTGATTTATAACAGTGTCTTTCTAATGTAAGTGTAAATTGATAGATATTAGCTGAATCTCATGAACAAATAATCATCTTTTACTTGTTTCCATTTTAAAATTTTTTGGAATTTGGCTTATAATTCTAAGACATATGTGACTTAGTATATGCTAATTTTTATACCACCCATCTATTATTAAATAAATTAGATAACTGCTAAAAATGGGATCTATATCTGTTGGAGAAAACATCACATTTAATGCAATGCCAAGTTCTGTCTCTATACCCTTGCTGAGACTTCTCCATTTGGAATCTAAACCCTTTCTTCTCCCCAGCTTCTACTTGGCAGTTGTCCAGGCTTGAATGTGGTCTGGTAATGAAGACACCAGGATCTGGCTCTTGTAGGAAAGTGGCATCCTCTTCTGACCTGTGGTCACTGGATTGATGTTGACATACCATTTTGCTGGAAAATGGTCATGAAGACCAGCCCTGTTCCTTGGAGTATGTGGCTCAAAATAAACCCATCCTCGGTTGGACTGAAATGGATCTGGAGGACCCACGCCGTCATGGCTTGAGGTCATGTGGATTGAACCTATGGATGTCTGTGTGTTTTAAGCATCTGGTCCCCAGGACTGTGTGCGGATGTGCACTGAGTGTGGCCTGCTCTCCTCAACTTCTTTCTGCTGTCCTAGCCAGATAGTGTGGTTCACTCTTGTCAGCCTGGTTGCCCAACTGGCCGCCCACTCACTCAGGACCTATATTTAAGCATGGCTGGCAGCAGAATGATTCTGGGTTTCCATGGTTCTGCAACTGAAAGGTTACTCTGAGAAGCTAGGATGCTGCTCAGACATTATCTAATTGGCACCATGTCTGCATTGCAGAAAATGCCCGTAATGCTCAGTGTTGTCCCAAGATAATTTGGTCACATCCTGAAGGCTCACTCGACTGGGTGACTCAGAAGAAGACACAAAAGGAACTGCGAGCTTCATATGGGTTAAATTTAGGGGTGCTACTGCCCAGCATTAGCCACCCACCCCCATGAAGAGAACATGGCTAGCAGATTCCCACAATGCTCACGTGTTGGAAGAAGTAGAAAAATATTCTTGTCCCTTTGCATTGTCATCTATTTACCAAATATAGTTGGTTAGCTTTAAAATAGTCATGCCAAATTCTTCAAGTTTTTAGTGAAATATTGCAAGGTTCTTTTGACACATTACAATTTGAGTTTTTGTGTACTACTCATTAGTCTCAGCTATTAGTGTTCTCAAAAGCAGTGGTTTTTGGTGTTCTTTGTAAGGTAATATCTTGTAATCCAGTGCCTGTTCATCAAGGGCCTCCTTGGAGACAGGCATTTGCTACTGGATGCTTTCTATTTGCCTTATACTTTATTGTCCTGAAGTAGGTGTGCTGCTAATTTAAACAGACATGAAAGACAGAGCAGGAGATTGTAGGAAGCATAAATGAGTTTGTAAATGCTTACTGTAGCTGCCCAGGTCACACTGAAAAGGAGCAGTATCACATAGACAACTTGCATCTTTGAGAATCTCTGTGAAAAGACAATGATATTTTACCCTAAGCTTTGCCAATTGTGAATTGCAGCCATAAATAGAGAAGTGTAAATAAACATCCTTCCTTCCCCAGCAGTCCATTTCCTTTATTATATATTTATATTATATATTAATTATATATTAAACATATACTTTTACATATTTTCTATAGTTATAGCTACAAAACTAGCATATATACATATATATACATTTTTGTGTAATTTATTTAAACCCAATGGAGGATGTTTCAATCTAAGAACTTCCATATGTCTACACCCAATGTGAAAGTTATTGGATATCATTAAAATAATAATCAGTTGATGTACTTTGAGACCATAATGTTAAGTGAAATAAATCAGACACACAAGCTTAAATATTATATGGTTTTTCTTATATGAGAAACCCAAAATATAAATAAATTAAAGAGCAAAATTAAAGATAGATAATAGGAAACAGGGAAATAGATATTTTGCAAAAGAGAAGAGGACCAAGAAATGGAGGGAAGGGGAAGGGAGAAGAGAGGAGGCAAAGAGGAGGTAAAAAAATGTGTTTTGTGTGTGTACCAACTTCTAAGGATAAATGTCATCATTATGTACTGTAAGCATATACTAATAAAATACCTAAAATGTACCAATGATTAGGATGAATAATCGATAATGTAAAATAGGAAGAAAAGGTCCAAAGGGGTAGGGGTAATGGGAGGGGCAGGGGAAAGGAAAGAAGGAAAAGGAAAAATGATGAGAAATGGAAAAAATGGAAATAAAGTCTTTGTAAATAGGGAGGGGTGGAGGGCGTGAAGGGAGGGCTAGGAATGGGGAGAAAATAAGAACCAAGATGCATCATGTAAAGGTACAATTCCCAATGAGAAATGTAATTGTGTTGTATACCTACAATGTACCAATAAAAGAATTTAATACAAAAAAATGCATTTTATAGACACATTTATTTACTAGTCCTGTTTTCTTTTCTTTTGCCTTTAGGAAAATATATGTAAAATTTGAAATGACAATAAGGTCACATAGCAGCCCATAACAGAATCTTTAAGCATCAAAGTAGCAGACACCACTGTGTGGTATGAAATCTTATCTGATTACACACTGGTGCCCCAATATATGTTCTTGTATTCATTAGCAATGCAGCTGAATTAGTCACCATCCATGAAATGGAGAATAAAACAATTTATTTAATACTTATACTAACAGCTAACATTTATTAAATACTGAAATAAGTTCCATACTCTTCTAAGAGTTTTACGTGTATTCAATTATTTGACCATCACAGCATCCCTTGGAGCTAGGTGGATCTCTATGTCTGTATTTTGAATGGCCAGATAACTTATCTCAGCATTCACAGATATTCAGGGGCAGAAGTGGGTTGGTATCCAGGCAGTGTAGCTATGGAGTCAGTGCTCTTAATCAAGACCCTATGGTACCTTAAATAAGTGTCTAATCTTTTGTCCTTTTACAGAAAAATCTATATGTATCTGTCCTAAATGTAAATTGTATTTTATATTGATTGCAATAAAAAGATATTTAAAACATTAGCATTTAGTTATTGATAAAATACATTTTCACAGTTTGATAAATATCTTGATAAGATATAGTAAGTTTGTTTAGGTCAAGTAGCCATTAGATTGGAAAAAAAGCCTCACCATACTTTGGACTAGCAATCTGTTGGTTTTAATAAACATTAAATATTTTACTAACATAGACACATAGCATTACAGAGACACATAACAACCAATATTATAGTAATATACATCATTCTTTGTGGTTACTTGGGAGAAAAACACTTTTAATGGGAAAAGTAACTTAAATATTCTTGCAATGTTTAAACATTTCAAAGTAAAAACCTTTATTTGGAGAATTAAATAAAGCTATTAAATATATTCTAAAGTCTTAAGCTATTTTCTTCCAAATTAATACAGTTGTAAGGATCTTAATTCAAACCCTGATTTAGCCTTCCAAGCAATTTATAGATCAGGACAAACTTATCAAATATCTTAATATTGATCAGTAGGAATATCAGCACAGACCAAGTCTGGGGACAGTCAAATCAAAGGGAAAGTTGCTACTAAAGCATCAATTTTAGTTGATGATATTTAGAGCTTGGTGACACGTTTCTTATGTTACAAAATAAAGCATTAAATATTACACAATTGTGCTCAGTGGAGAATATTTTCAATTTGTTTATTTTCAAAATCAATAACCCAGCCAGGGTCCCAAGCATCTTGAAAATGTAAACCACTGTGATATAAAGCTATTTGCTATCAAGAACATCATGAGAGCCAAATTACCTGAGATCTTTGACCTTCTGAAAACCTGGCTTCTCCTGCAGGATGAGCAGTCTCTGGGCATTTTGCTGAAATTTAAGGTTTATTCAAGTTCCCGATGTCCAATCAGCACTGGCCCACTTAGCACTAGCAAGCAATTTGTTATGCATGCCCACAGATAACCGCAGGGGCAAAGTAATTTTATATTTTACAAAAACATCTAAAAATGTTTTTGTGGTGGAAAGGTGCTATCAAATGTTCCAGAAAGTGGGGTAAACTGAAAATATAAATACCTCAGTTGAGACATCATGTTGTCAGATAATTAGAATTGATTTCAGAACTATTAATTAGGAGTGTGATTATAATTGGAAAATATTTTTAAACAAATACATCTATAAATAGAAAGTATCTTTTCTCTTAATTTGTATGGAAAATCTACAATCTCAATTTCAATTTGAGTAAAATTCAGAAGCATTTAGTAAAAATGCTGTAAGTGCCTACCATGGGCAAAACACTGGGAAAACATCTATGAACAAACAGAAAATCCCTGTCCTCGGGGGGCTTCCAATGCAGGGGCAGAGGCAGACAATAGACAGGATGAATAAGTAAGGTATGTTATATGAGATAATAACAGACCTGAAGTCTAAGAAAAAGGTTCGGGGGTGGGGGGTGACAAACAATGGGAACGAGGACACTGGCTTGAAATTTTAGGTAAGGAGTCCTGGTAATGTTTCATTGAGAAGGGGACTTCTGAGTAAACATTCCCATGGTTTGAATGTACGTGTCCCTCCAAAATCCAAGTGCTAGAACTGAACCCCAATCTGATGGTATTATGACTAGGGTGTTTAGGAAGTGGGTAAATCATAAAGGGAAAACCCTGAAGGATTAGCAACCTTATGAAAGGGCTGGAGACTATGGAGGGCCTTTTAGACCCTTGCTGTCCTGCCTTGTGAGGATACAGCATCTCTGACATAATAAATCCCTACCAGATACTGAATCTGCCAGCAGCTTGAAGTTGGACTTTCAGCCTCCTGAACAGCCACAAATAAAATTTTGCTCTTTATGAGTTACCTGGTCTGTAGTATTGTTATAGCTCCATCCACAGACTGTGCAGACTTGTAGACAGCAAGGGTGTTCCTGACAGAAGGTACAGGAGAACCAGACCCCCAGAAAAAAGAGCCTACTGGCTTCTTCTAGAAACAGGAAAGGGTCACTGGCTGGCAGGACTGAGCAAGGGCAATAGCAGCAAATAAGGTCAGCAGGGTATTAGGTGGCAGATGATAGGGAACGTGGAGGTCACCATAAGGACTCGGTCCTAACCCTGAGTGAGAAGGAGAGCCCCTGGAGGTCTCAGCACAGGAGTGGCTGAAGGTGTATTTGAAGCAGGAACAGAGCAGACATATTGTCTCCAAGGTTCTGGGCAGTGCAGAAGGGATGATGTGAAGTGGCCACAGCCTGAGATATTTTGGAGTGAAGGCCAGTAGGACTGCTGAGGTACGAGAAGTGGTCTGTGAGAGAAAATCAAGACTCAGGATGATACCCATGCTTTTGTCCTGCAACTAAAGAATGAAGTTGTTATTTATCGATATGGGAAAATATGCAAAAGAAAACAGTTTTGAAGGAAATATTGTGAGTTTGGACATGGACATGAATTTTATAAAAATGGTCAAGTTAGGACACTGCGTTACTTAATGAAATAAATAGCATGCCCAGTAAGACCCAGTTTCATCTGTTTTGTCCAAACTGGCTGCCAAATTCATGATTGTAACAGGGAGGTTCCTCTCAATTTAAACCTAATTATAATAGCTAGTGGGATTATTAACATTTGAATTAAGTACAAAAACACCAGTAAAAGATTATGAAAGAACAATTTATGTTCTGTGATAAGAACTTGTACACTTAAACACAATTTTCACATTCTATACACAATATATAATCAAATTTAAATGTAAATCCCAATTTCTCCAAACTCCCAAAGTAGACCAAAAAAAAAAGAAAAAAACCAACCAAACACAATAAAACAAACAACGTAGCCCTCAGGAAGTTTGGGCTAAGAGAAGGACACCTTTTCTAGTTCACGCCAAATCTCTCTTTTTGCCTTATCCATATCTGCAGCTCCCCTCTGAATGTCTTCAGCTGGTTTTTAATACTTGCCAGGCTAGAATTCAAGCTCTTGAGCTAGGGTCATTGTTGATTTAGAGCCATCCAACCAAGCATTTTAGACTATTTGAACATTACCATTTACAATGGAGACTATTAGCTTTGGAGTCAAAGAGAACTGAGTTCAAATCCTGCCTGCACCACATGTTTACTGAGGTACATTGCCTAAACAACTAGACTGAACCTTTCTGTTTCTCATTTTCTGAAAACAAGAGCACAGTAGTAATAATCTAAACTTTCAGTGAGTGATTGGTATGGTCCATGCATTGTTCCAACTGTGTTGCATTAATTTATTCCATTCCTGTAAAAACTCTGTGATGTTCTTTTATTATTTTCTGGATTTTAGCAATGAGACACAGAGCACTTAAGGGGCTTGCTCAAGGTCATATACTTAGCAAGTAACAATTGCCAGTAGGCAGTTTGGCTGCAAAGAAAGTTTAAAAACCACTGCACTATATTGTCTCATAAGGTCAACGTGCATATTAAATTAAATTGTACAAAGTTCTTAGTCTAGTTCTTTTTTTTTTGGTACCGGGGATTGAACTCAGGTCCTTGCGCTTGCAAGGCAGGCGGCAGAACCACTGAGCTAAATCCCCAGCCCTTTAGTCTGGTTCTTAACTTCACAATCAAACAGTAAGTGGCTACTCATCCCACTCATTCTTCCCTTCACTAGTGGTAATCTAACCCTCAAGGGAAGGAGAACTCATCTGGATCTCCTTCATGTCTTCTGTGGATTCTCCCTTCTTGTTTATGATTTCTGTAGTATGAGGGCAAAAGTAATGAAGCACTGAAGTAAGAGAATGGAAGTTTAAGAGAACACAGCAGTCTACTTCTCTAGACACTATAAATATTCCTGCCTAGAATTTCAGCAAATTGCTAATGATTTGTGTGATACAGAAGAGAACTAGAAAGAAATGGAAGTCAGGAAAAGAAAAGTAACAAACAAGAGCATTCTTCAACTATAAGACTGAACTCAAATATAAAGCTATATAAATAATAGACAACTGAAAACCACAAAAGATGTTCATTTTGTATTTTGGAAATTCTACTAGACCAGTGAACAATTCAGCAACTTCTGTAACAGTTAAAAAACCATGTAGTGTTCTGAGCTTCTACACTCTTCCTAACATTAACTTTACATTTTAAATGATCCAGTAAAAGCATAGGCACCTACCTCATATATGGTCAAGGCTCAGAAAATGTTGGCTTATTCGCTGCTTTGATATCATAGTTTCAGATCTTTCTAAAATGTGCTTTTCTTTGTTTTCTTTTCTTTCAAAAGAATTTTCATGTGTGTGAGATTTTACCTTCCTTTAAATGATGGAAAGACATCAAATCCTGATATAGAAAAGCATATGTTCTGGGAAGAGAAAATACATAGAATTTTTGTAGAAAAAAATTGACTGAGATACAAGTTCTACCAGGGCATGAACTGGCAAGGGCTAAATATGTACACTTTCAAAGCTAAAACGAAGTAAAGTAAAGAAAAAAAAAAGGAAATTCAAGTTGAGTCTTAAATTTAGAACCTGCAATTGACAAAAGAAAAAAAGAGAGAGCCTGTTCTGGCTGCAAGGTTGCAGAGAAAATATTCTGGGGGAAGAAAGAGAAAAGTGATCACTTCCTATAGGTCCATGAAGAAGAGATTTTACTTGCACCCTCCTGAAACTTGCCCCATGTTGACACTGAGCTTCAAACACTTGAAAAATTCTCTAAAATGTTTTTGGATAATAAAAAGTTTTACCACAACATTTCTTAGGAATCAGTAAACAAAGGAAAGACCAGGGTTCTGTAAAAAGTTATTTATCTTCACACCATCTTTATTTAACAAGAAAAATAACAACAACAGAACAACCCAGGAAGCAATCGAGAAGGGCAGGAGGCAGCACGTGAACTTTCTTCTGGTTGCTGGTATGCGATTGGAGAGCAGACACCAGCAACAACGCCTGCAGCCTGGCTTTCCCGGGCCAGGAGGACACGCAGGGCTGCTCCTTAAAGAGATTTTAGATGGCAGAGGTTTATGGAACTTGTTGCATCTTGTAGTCATTCTTTTCATTTCTTACCCTCACTTCTGTGTGAACAATCATTTAAAATGTTTATAGTTATATTCATAAGAAAATAAAATATCTTTTGAGATAAGAAAACATTGTTAGCTAACTACACTATCAGCTCTAGCTACTGTTCTATCCTCACCCTGGAGGTTTGGTTTGGTTTTGTCTTCTCATCTATTATTAGGACCTCCCATCATCTCTTCAGTACTTGTACTCTAGGCCCACTTGCTTTGATTATACATTTTTTCAAATTTGGTATTATAGGAAACTTCACTTCTGGGACTGATTACCAGCTATTCTTAACTGCCTTAGATAACGTATTACTCTATCATCATCTTAAATAGAGGTAAACATATAAATATATATATATACACACACATAAACTATATATACATATATATTATACTATATATAATATATATATATATCTTTCCACAGGTTCTAGTTGAAATTGCTCTCTATTTTCTAACTTCTATGCACAAACAACAAATAGTATTTCCTTTCTTTAATTCAGGGGGAGAATCTTCACAGTGATTTTAGCAGAAAAAAAGAGGACCCCTCTTGAGCTACTTCCTCTTTACCATACTGTCAGATTGTCAAGGGTTCAGGTTTTTCATAGAGGCATTTATTTTCCATTCATCTCCAAAACATAATTCATATTGTATGTGCTGGCCCTGTGTTTAGTAAAATAAAATATTTTTGTTTTAAATATATTCATTGCTGAGTATCAATATTCATCCTATGCTAGGTAAAGGTCACTTTCTCTAGAGCATCCCTTACAACCAATTTTCTCATTTACCCCCAATTTAGTTTTGGTTCTGGTTATTATTTTTTCTCTTAGTATTTGGGAATTTCCACAGAAGTACA